GGAGGGAGGGAGGGAGGGAAGGAAACAAAAAAGGAGATGGAAATGGAGGAAGGGAGGGAAGGAAGGAAAGAAAGAAGGAGGGAATGAGAAGAAGAGGGAGGGAGGAAAGAAGGAGATGGGAGAGAGGGGGAGGGAAGGAAAGAAAGAAGGAGGGAATGAGAAGAAGAGGGAGGGAGGAAGACAGGCGGAAGGAAGGAAGGAAGGAAGGAAGGAAGGAGGGAGGGAGGGAAGGAAGGAAACAAAAAAGGAGATGGAAATGGAGGAAGGGAGGGAACGAAGGAAAGAAAGAAGGAGGGAATTAGAAGAAGAGGGAGGGAGGAAAGAAGGAGATGGAGAGGGAGGGAGGGAGGGAGGGAGGGAGGAAGGAAGGAAGGAAGGAAGAAAGGAAGGAAGGAAGGAAGGAAGGGAGACTGCCTGGTTGAGACTGAGGCCGCCCTGGAAACCCCCTCTCTACCATCTGAAGACTTCCTGCTTCAGTATACTGCGCAAACAAGGGACCTGAGGCTGGTCCTGCCTGAGCAGGGCGTTGGACTAGATGACCTTCAAGGTCCCTTCCAACTTTATGATTATTACCATTATTATAGAAGACCTCCAAGGTCCCTTCCAGGCCCTGTCATTCTGTTAGTCCCCCCCCCCGAGGCAACTCTCCCTTGGGGACCGGGTGGAGGAAGCCCCTGACCACCTCTTTGGCTACTCACTTGACCACCGAGGTCGCCATGCTGCCCTTCCGCCCTCCCCGTCTCTTCCTTCGCGGGACCTTGCAGGCCGGGGGGCAGCCAGGACTCTCTGCTCACCCAACCTGGGTTAGGACGCAGCCCTGGGCAACGTTTGGCCCCAGCGAAGGTCCGTGGCCCAATTTCATCCCCCGCCCACCCGCCCGCCCGCCCGCCTGCCTGGCTGCTACGAAAGCAGGGCCGGCCGGAGGAGGCCGGACCAGGCTGTGGAGTGAGCAATGGGGTCCTTTGGGTCCTTTCCCCCCCCCCATCCCTCCCCGGGGGACCTTTGCTCCGTCAATATTATCTCTGCCCAGAGCGGTGGAGCCTACAGTTGGCTGGATAAACGATCGGCAAATTGGAAACAGGCCAGCGTTGATCCACCTTGGAGGCGGGTGGACTTCAGTTCCCAGAATTCCCCCAGCCAGCAAAAGGATTCTGGGAGTTGATATCCACTCGTGTTCAAGTTGGCGAGGTTGAAAAACATCCCTGCAGAAGTGGACCTTAATGAAGGCGGAATGTGATGGGATGGGATGGATGGAAGGAAGGAAGGAAGGATGAAGGAAGGAAGGAAGGAAGGAAGGAAAGAAAGAAAGAAAGAAAGGAAGGAAGGAAGGAAGGAAGGAAGGAAGGAAGGAAGGAAGGGAAGGAGGAAGGAAGGAAACAAGGAAGGAGATGAAAAGGGAGGGAGGAAAGGAAGGAAGGAAGGAAAGAAAGGAGGCAATGGAAGAAAGAAAGAAAGAAAGAAAGAAAGGAAGGAAGGAAGGAAGGAAGGAAGGGAAGGAGGAAGGAAGGAAACAAGGAAGGAGATGAAAAGGGAGGGAGGAAAGGAAGGAAGGAAGGAAAGAAAGGAGGCAATGGAAGAAAGAAAGAAAGAAAGAAAGAAAGGGAAGGAGGAAGGAAGGACGGAAGGAAGGAAACAAGAAAGGAGATGAAAAGGGAGGGAGGAAAAGAAGGAAGGAAGGAAAGAAAGGAGGCTCCCCTTGAGGAGCACCCGGAGGCTCCAGCTGGTCCAAAATGCGGCCGCGCGGGCGGTGTTGGGGGGGACTCGACGTTCCCACGTGACGCCGCTGCTGCGCGAGCTGCATTGGCTGCCTGTGGCCTTCCGGGTGCGCTTCAAGGTGCTGACTATCATCTTTAAAGCGCTCCATGGCATCGGACCCGGATACCTTCG